TTTCTTCGAAGTGAAGAGTGAACAATTTCAACTAGAAGCAACAACCCAAGTTCAACAGGTATCAATCAGCTGAACAATTCCACACTCAAAAAACACTATTTAAAAAATTGTCACAATGAAGAAGTAGAGGGCCTCAGCGGGACGGAAGGAATCACCTAGAATCATCTCATGGTCCGTTTCATAACAATTTCAGCAAGAAGGGTAAAAAGGAAGAACACGCTAGCACCAGTCCAAATTTTAGATGGAATTAAGTTTAATAAGCCCACTTTCTTGCTTTAGTGGAACTGTCAGCTAATAAATGCCACATACCTCTCTGGAGAGGATCACAAAAGCAGACTAGGTTTACTGCCTTTACCCGCCCCGCCCCGCCCCCCATCAATAGTATCGACTTCCCTAATATATAATATCTTGTGATTTTTTTCCTATGTAGTCATCACTGTCTGGACCAAAGATGGGGAACATAAAAGTCTCTCCCTCTAGTTGGCTAATGAACGAATGTCCATTGCCAAAACTTAAAAGTCTTATTTTTGGGCGAATAAATGTTTTTAAAACTATATCCTGAATCCTAGCAAGCTTCTACTTCCCTTTGTTGTGCCACTCTGCAGCCATCCAAGCCAGAAAAGGAAAGACAACTCATTCTCAGTGGCCATCAACGTGGCTTTAAGGAGACTTCGGACCATACACATTCTTATTTTTCTTGAATGAATCTAACCATTCTTACCTACATTCAACAAGTTAAGCAAATAGTCAAAAAGCTTGATACAAAATCCCAAGAGACATACAATGTTGAGCCTTTTCAAGAATAGAACATACAGTCCCATAATTTTCAATTGAGTTCTTTTTTCTTGTCATCTCTAAGACCTGCACATCGTTTTCTTCTAAAACTCCAGCTGCATACATATCAGAATCAGTGCAAGAGGTTGTTATTCTTGTCCCAGGCTTTCTCCTCTGAAAATAGATATTCAGAATGATTCCAGTCTTTGTGAACTCACACATACTAGTGACTGATCAAGAGTCTCAGGGCATCTTAAAGATCAATATTTATTGTGGCATGAATTCTCTTATGCTTAGTGTACAAACTCTTGAGTTCCCCAGCTGCATCCACTTTTAAATTGCTGGCCTATTCACTTAACCGGGGTGGGATGGCGGGGACCGGTGATCTTACATTGGAATTGAAGCCCTGCTGAGGAAGGAATTATCACATCACATTTCAGTTTAATAAACAATTCGTTTTGTGAAAAGACTCTCCATATGCAGTCAAAAGGATTACCCATTGACTCTGGAACTTCTGGAATTTGCTAACCATCACAAAGGTGGACTGCTAGATTCCCACTGAGTCAACAGTGGATGATTTAGTGCCTGAGGCATGCACCTGTTTGCCTTCTGCACTTCAAAAAAATATTCTGACTATATTGTGCTAACTCTCAACCTAGATATTCAGGAAATTCACATTTAAAGGAATGTGAGCTAACCTGGTTATAGACTGTACAATGATGCTGTTAACCTAGACAGGGTGGAACACCCTCTGCTGACTCTCCAGGAGTGTGTGTGTGGGAGAGATACTGGCTGCATCTTAAAGATATAAGACTTAATACTTTTGACAGGAAACAGCAAAAACCAAAAAGTGATGGTAAAAAACACAATTTGACAAGTCAGGTGGTGGATTCAGGTAAAGCTCAGAGAAGCAGGTATCCTGGATTATCTATGATCAGGCAAGAAATGTGACCAGAATAAAACAGAATCAAAAAGTATGAAGTGAAGCAACATATTAGAGGAAGGAATTCAATGTAGTGCTAAGGAATACAGTACAAGCATTCCTGGAATAATCTCCCTACTTCTCCTCCCGTGTGATGTTCTGGGGGTTCTTCTAACCCTTCCCCAATTGGGGGGGGGGTGGATTGCAGGGAGAGGAGAGAAGTGGAAAGCCCCACTGCACTAGAGGGTGTCATGCAAGTTTCCACTAGCAGTACTTGTTATTTGAATCTGGCCCAGGAAGAACCAAGGGCACAGGTGGCCACCCCCTTCCTGATGCTAAGTAGGTGAGGGTCTGGTTAGTGCCTGCACAGCTGTCTTTGCAGGATCCACATGCATCTTGGGTTTCACTGAATCAAGAATCAAGGTGGGATAAAAATGTAAGAAGATAAAGATCAGGTAAAATATAAAGCAGAAAACAAAATCACACTGCACTTTCAAAATTGGGGTTTGGAGGCTGAATTGTTTTATAGACCAAAAATGAAAAAACAGTGGCTACCATATTCAAAGCCAGCTCACAGAGTTCAAGCCTTCACTCAAGCCAAGGGGGAAGTCATTTATGCAATTTCTAATCCATAGAATCATTATGGAAATTGTAGCACATTTATGATTTGATTGTCCTTTGGATGCTTGATACCTGCAAATGTTAGCAAGAATTAACAGAAGGTAGGCTTATTAAGGGGTGGGAGAAATTCTCCCCCACTCTCTACTATCCCCAAACTGCATAAAACACAGACTTGTGCACACTTTTTGGATGGTGTAGGAACATGCAAGCTTTGTTCTGTATATATGCCATTGAGGTTAAGGGAGAAATGTGCTCTCTCAATAATGATTTGTCAAGGAAAAAAAGTATTTTGATGACTACTGAGGATGTGTTTTTTTTTAAAAAAAACAACACCTGGCAATTTACTTTCAGGACTAATAGCAAGACAAACAAATGGGAAAGTTCAATGCAAGGGCAGTGCCAGAAGGATGGAGACACATAAAAATATTGTCAAGCTTCAGTCAATTCACCGTTCAACACATGGCAGAAAAGAGCTGATCTGATCTGCTTTGCATCAACCACATATGAGAAGGATTAAAGGTCATAAGTGGTTAATCCAAGACTGCAGATGCATGAACAAGAGGTTCTATAAACCTCAGTTGTTGTTCTCACTTTCAAGGTGACGGAAGCTGAATCACAGGGTTGAACAAACATATTTGACAAGGCAAATTGCAAAACAGCAGACAATTTAGCTTAGAATGGACAGATTTCTTATTTAAAATTTATATTCCACTTTTCACCATCAATGTAGAAGAGCACTTTATAACAACACAGTATACAGAATTTAAAACCTAAACTTTAACATTTTAAACATCAAAAATCTAAAAAAAAAAAAAGCTTTTTTAAGACATTGCCCAGACCTCAGTGAGATCAACACCCCAATGCTGCTATAGAAGGAGGCAAATTTTTATCAGTTCAATAGAGAGCTTGGGAAAAGGCAAGGTAGAAAACTGAAATGAATTTTTCTCTAGTGAAAAATGGATTACTTGCTGAAGGACGCACGAAAGAATTAGCAGATCACAGTGGAGTATTAAGCCCAGTATTGCACTTTCCTCTTTAAGCACATCACTCCCTTCCTCAAGAGCCTCTCCCTGAACCAAAAGACGGTTATAGTATTTTGGTTTCACATGGTATTTAATGGCATGTCTAGCAAAGGACCCAAACTCCCACTACTTCCAGCAGTCCTGGCTTGATTGTCTTGGGCATACCCACTCCCTCATGTTAACTAGTGAGGACAAGCATCAGAAGATGCATCTTACAAATGTGGAACACAGGGAACAATCCATGTACGGAATGCCTGCAGACCTATCTTAAAGGTTTACAACTGGGCAGCCATATTTCAAAAGCATCCATTGCTTTCCTCACTCAAATTCTGGAAAGGCAGGATCACGTTTTCTAAAACTCCAGATAAAAGAACCTCAACACTATAATCAGTCATTCTAGAACAGCAGTAAAGGAATCCAAGCCAGTTTCTAGAGGTGCACTGGGAGGTGAGAGGAAAGCCCTATTGCACAAGTGGAAATCCTTGCACAGGTTTTCGCCGATGGAATTTGTTAAGTGAATATTGCAGCTAAATCAGAAACTTTACAGCATCTGTATCAGCCTACAACAACTCTGTGCCATCCAGATGCTTGACTACAACTCCCATCAGCCTCACAGGGCTCTGCTTGTTGGGCTGGAGGGGTCCAAAACATTTGGAAGGAAGGAGTTCAAAAGGAAGGGTGAATATCCCTACTAATCTATTTCAGATTTCCGGTTTTATAGTCCTTATTTTGACAGCTCATATTGCAAAGCCGACACTTGTGTTCCATCTCTAGTTCTTCTGCCTCTTTTAGGCACGCTTGACTGTATGCAAAAATTCCTAGGGAATTGAATGCAACAATAGAGTTTTTACATCTGAAGTGAAGAGGCGAAAACAGTATGGTGGTATGGGAGATTTTCCCTCAACACAAAAATGCAGAAATCAGAATGCAAAATTAATCTTCCAGTTCCCCCCACCCTTCTGGAAGGCTAGCTGGTGTCACCTAAAATATTAGTTAACTCAAGTTATTCCTCAACATTGTGTATTCCTATGACATTTAAGTACTTTATACCAAGGTGAGAAGCTGGTGGACTGTACTAGTAATCTTGCTTGTAAAAAGTATTCAGAACGGTTCTGCCAGCTGGTGTAGAACTTTCTCATGGAAAGTGCAAGGCAGCATGAAGTTGTATAGTTCAACAGTGCTTTAGTTTTGGCCTGATTATTCCCCTGCTGAATTCAAAATAAATAGTCAAAAATGCTTACAAGGCAATGATCTCACACATCACAGTGAGAATTTACGTTAGGCCAATGTGCAGCACCTCTGAAAATCCTACACTTGGGAACAGCTGGCCCATAATTTAAAACGCATGCTCAGCATTGCTATAGATCTGTGCTGACCATGCCAGTCTTCTGTTCTTTCAATCTTTGGATAACTCAGGAGGGTAACACAATTCATGAGGACTATCCTGCAGCTTCTGCTTTTGTGTACTCTTATCAGATGTCGTCTTCTCCTCATAAAAGCAGCACTTAAGACTCAGAACTTGATACCATGGCACCATGTGCATTATAGTAATGTTTTTGATATTATGAGAAGTTCCAACATGACTTAAGGAGAATGACTGGAAAGCCCTACATCGAAAAACAAAACAAAACCCACTTCTGTGAGCATAGAACTCCACTCACCTTTTCTCCCAGAATTACCCTGTCCTAAAGGCCTGTCAGTTACTGAACCTTAAAGAGAAGGAAACACATAATTCTGTTATTTAAGAGATGACATGGGCAAAGCAGTGGCAGATATACAATCTCAACAAATTCAGCCAAATCCATTGGCACAAATTTGGCCCATTTGCCTTAGATGCCATGCCCTAAAATAAAAAAATAAAAAATTCCAAGCAACTGCCCCAACACATGTGTCCAATCCCCAGAAACCTTGTTGCTTCTCTAGCCACTTTTGTACTGGGCTCAGTCATTTTGTAGAATCCAGTTTGAAGGATACAAGTTTACTATCTGCAAGAGCAAAGTACAGAGGAAGGGGTTCCTTTGAAATATGAGCGTTGCAGTCTGGTCTGATGACGTTACAGACTGTATGGCCAGAATGAAATGTGTTGATAGGCAGGTGGTAGATACTTCATGGACAGATACAAGAGCTGGTTGATGGGGGCAGTGCCTGGACTGGCGCAGGAGACCACAGATGGCCTTCTGTCAAGATTCCTAAAAAACACTGCCTAGTAGCTGTATTTTAGTCTCCAAGATTTTCTGCCAGCAACAGATATTGGTTTGTCAGGCACCTGCCCCCCCTCCATGAAATCCTATTGTGCCCACCATTTAGGATAGACAGAATGGGGTGGGGGAGAGAGAGAAAGAGAAAAGAAAGGCAAGATGCTTGCTGGAGATAAATGGTCCGGTTTGTAATATATTACAAACTTTTTCTGAAGTCTGGTTTGGCCTAAACCCATTTAGCGTATTTCATCCCTAAAAAAAATCCAGTTCTAACCAACTCTTTTGACAAGTATCTATTCTAACATAATTTATTTTTCATGGAAAAGAAGCCACTCGGACAGAATCAAGAGGCTATTTAAAAATATATTCGGTTTGATACCCCAAAGAGTTATAAAGCAATGTGTCACTGAATGGAGAGTCATATGTTTACAGGTGCCCAAGCTAGAGCACATGCTGGAAACAAGGAATGCCAATTATCTTGACCAAAAAACGCAGAGCAAATTCAAACTGCGTTACTCTCTTCTACTCATTTCACCTGATGGTCAAAACCATTTGCAACATATAATGAAGATGAGCTGTGAATGAATGACAGCTTTCAAGCAGCACTGAAGATTGACCTGGCCACAAGATGGAGCAGCTATTATCTCAATTCCCTGAGTGTAGGACTAATTTTGCGTTGTATGAACGGGTCCAAGACCTTTGAATTAAAAGCCAAAATGTTTGTCCCTTTCTCTTCCTATTTGAGCATCAAAAGCAGCAATCATTTTTCCTCAGCCCTCAGTACCTGAACATACAGGAGTTTTGTTCTGTACAGAAGAACCACTGATGGGTTTGCCGTCTGGAGTGACGCACCAGCAGTATCCGGTATAGGTATGGCACTGCACCTGTTTGGAAAAGAGGAAACTTACTAGTTACAGGGTTCCCAGAATCCACCTGCAACCTGCTCATCCAATAACCCAATAACCCAATAACCCAAACTGAATGTGAAAACTTTTGTACTATTAGAGACATTAAGGAACCATTAGAGTTTAAGGAATAAACGTTTTCAAGGAAAGTGAGAAAAGTGTTTGTTTTGCACTTTTTAATTTAATGGTTATATCTCCCAGTCTAGACAATATCTATATGCAAACAAAGGAAGAATAACTGGTCCTTAGCAGGAAGGTAGCAACCAAAATCAGACAATTTATATAAAGCCTCTGGCCTACTCAAACAAATTAGAGACAGTTACTGCAAAAATAGGTGGAGCAAGTTTAGCACACATTGGAAGAGAAGGAAAAACGGAGAAGACACATCTTGAAGGTCACAGACCCCAGCTGCAGACCGTCCTCAATCACCCACAATAGCAGAGAGATGAGCCCAAGAAGAAGCTGCTGCACTGCACATCGGGCAGCACAAACCCTCACAACATGAGCCCTAGCCAGGAGGAGAAAGCAAGAACCAGCACATGCTTCAGATTAGGGTTCTGGGGATAGCTATAAACTACTCAGCTGCTCACTGCCTCTTGCAACTCCGCTCAGCTCTTTTTGGCTCTCTGGCTGGACAGCTCCACTGCTGCATCAAGAACCTTGCTGCAGACCTGCTCCCTAACCTGCTGGATAGCTCCTCAGCTTTGCCAGTAGGGCAGGGAAGTCAAGCCACAGTTAAGTATTAATGGAACAGAGCAAACCCTCCATGAAAGTAACAGTAGAGCAATTCGTACAGTTATATAATCACAAGACCAGATGCAAGACAAATGACTAGCTTTTGTCAAGATCTTAGAAATTAACATAAGTAAGCAATAAAGTTAAACGGAATAAAGTAACACAATCAGTTAAAAAGCTGAAGCAACACAGCTCCTGACTTGCTGGATTTATTTCAGACTACAAGAGGTTTATTGATCCTTTGGCAAGATGCCTGATTGCAGCAGTTCATGAAACCCATATGAATGGGATGTTGCCAAAGATCGGTAGTCATATGAACCTGGCCATATATGGAGTCAGACAATTGGTCCATCAAGCCTGGAGCCCCAGTGAGCCCACAGAGGCTTTCTGTAGCCCATGCACAGTCCTCACCCCCTGCCCCAAATGCTGCTGAAAAAAGCATAGAACAGATTGCAGTACTTGCCTGAATGTGGTGTGTGTGGTGCCCACAACACTTTCTCTCATTTGCAAGTGTGCTTATGGGCCCAAGAAGGTTGGTGACCCCTGTTCTAATATCGTCCACTAGGACAGGCAGCAGCTCATATCACTTGGTACCTAATCCTATCCTATTGACTGGAAATACTGGGAATTGAACCAAGTACCTTCGACATACACAGCAAGTATTCTGGCACTGAGCTATGGCACTGCCAAACCAATCAAAAACTTATGGAAAGTGTGATGCATACTCTTAATTGACCAATTTCTTTTTTAAACTGTAATTTTTTTAAAAGCCTAGCAAAAATGACCAATACAATCTGCAATGATGTTTGAAGATCAGTTACAGGCAGCCCCTTGCTTGTGCATATAACATAACTGAAAACCACTGAAAAAGCCTGTAAATGCATTTCATGCTCTCTCACTGTGCATGCTTGTGCACTGTGAATTCTCTTTACCTCTGCAGGTTGGAGAAATACTGAAACTTGTGTTGGTGCTGGCTTTTCTCCCTCTCTCATAATAAGCTGAGTGTTGGAAGATTCAGGACAGACAAAAAGTACTTCTTCATACAACAAATAGTTAACCTATGGAATCTGCCACCACATGTGTTGACCATTAACTTGGATGGCTTTAAAAGAGGATTGGGCAAATTAATTGAGGATAAGGCTATCGCTTGCTACTAGCCATGGTGACTATGTTCTTTCTCTGTTGATGGAGGGAGTATGCCTCTGAATTGCTGGTAATTCACATGTGGGGAAAGTGTTGCTCTACTCAAGTTCTGCTTGCCACAGGCTGGCCACTGTGGGAACAGAAAGTTGGACCAGATGGGCCTTCGATTGGATTCAGCAGGCTCTTAGCATTTCCTTGTTTTTCGAAAAGCTGCATCACACCGTCAACTTTCATTGATCGGTCATCTTCATTACAATCCCCATTTAACCTTTTCTGCCTCCCCTCAAATTCCTTCATTTCTCCATATATTCAAAATAGGCCACTATAGTAATACAGCTCAAGCACAACAGTCTATTTTTTTATAAACAAAACTTACAAGCCTTTTTGAATCACAACCAAATGATCACCACAAATGATGTCTAAGATGAGGGTGGCAGAAAATGTCTTGCTTAAAGTCATCCAGAAAGTCTACAGCTGAACAAAGAATGGAACATGCCAACTGAGGACAGACCATTTCAGTTCTCCAAGTTCCTCATTTTCCCAATTATAAATTCAGTTCTCTAAATTTTGTGAAGCAATTTGTGGTCATTTTTTAAAAAAAAACCTGATGGAAATTCATCAGCATTTTAGTGAAAATTTCTACTAATAAACACATTTTTGTGCATTTTGATTAATATATGCATTTCTGTAATCAATTTCCCTAAATATAAAACATTTTGTGCCCATTTCCCCATATTGTATGAACTTTGGGGCATAACATTTGGCTGGAGAACTGCATCACAAAATTCAGAAAACTGCAAATTTCAAAGGATGGCGGTGTTTCAGTTTCCATAGTGGTTTGAGAAGTGTGAATTAAGCAGTTTCTCATTAAAATGCAAGCAACAGCCAAAATCTCCTTCATCCCTAACCCTAGCTCATAGCTCATGATTTTAACCACTATACTACACTCATATTTCATGTTCTTAACTCTTATGCTGCACAAGCTTTTGGGTGACTACCTAGGCTTTCATACACATTTTCATTCTGGATTGCCACCTACACATTTCCATCACATGGAAAGCAATGCTTCTTTTGTCTTTTTGTCAAATTTAGATAAACACACAGCTTAAAAGCTCCCAGCTCAAACTGACCAAATAGCAGGAAATATTGCACAACAGAACTGCTCTGTCACCATTTCCCAAATTAATTAGAAATGCTGTAACGACCCTCCCCACCCCTACGTCAGACACATCAATTACAGTGTGTGAAATAGAACAAAAGCCAACACTTCAACCAGTGGGCCCTTAAATAAATTCCTGCACCCATAAAAACCATTAGAATATGAAAACATTAAAACTGTAGCCACTGGCAGGCTCCTCTGGGAGAATGGGGCCTTTGTTGAGGTCTGTTCAGTTCCTCACTGAAGATGCCAGAATGAGGTTTCAAAGGACTACATAAACATTTTAACAAGCTGGCAGGATCGTCCATTATAACTTGACAGAGGCAAATCAAGGGCCGATTTGTTTCCACTCCATCTTCTGGCGAAGGGAAAACATAGAATTGTATGTGTATGGAAAATACACGAACTGGCCAGGATTAATCATATGGCTCAGTATGCTGCCGACAGGAGCCCATGCTATAATGAAGTCTGTGCCTGCCCTTCTTCCCTCGTACTGACTCCTACATCATTTCTCAGAGCTAAAATACAGCAGCTGTTGTCCTGTAACAACTTAGGAAATCAGAGGCCATGTTCAAAAAGTTCAGTGGTACAGAAATCTAATACTGGTAGCCTGAACTGCATGGGGAGTGTGATGGGGGTTTTTTTTGGGGGGGGGCGGTATTCGCTCCAAGGTGTCTGCCAAGCAGTGTTCTCAGAGCTATAAAATAGTTGTAGCAAACTTCACAGAGTAGGATTGGTGGGGCTGGTAGAACCAGGTATGTGTGTCTGCCCAACTGTTCCTAGCCCTGTACAGAGGAAGAGTGGGATCAGGTATGCTGTCAGTACAATTTGCACATGTACAGTTGTAGGTATACAGGTCTCCAGCTGTGTGATCAGGAACCCTGTGTGATTCTCAACTATGTGACATGCAAACTGGAGTTCATATGCAAACATGAAGCCGAACATATCATGATTGAAAGCAGTAACAGCATATGCAATCTCACTTCTACCAATATATACAGTGGTACCTCGGGTTACATACGCTTCAGGTTACAGACTCTGCTAACCCAGAAATAGTACCTCAGGTTAAGAGCTTTGCTTCAGGATGAGAACAGAAATCGTGCTCCGGTGGCGTGGCGGCAGCGGGAGGCCCCATTAGCTCAAGTGGTGCTTCAAGTTAAGAATAGTTTCAGATTAAGAACGGACCTCCAGAACGAATTAAGTACTTAACCCGAGGTACCACTGTAGTTGGTATAGAAAGCAGAGTTCCTGGGTACACAGAAAGACTCAGATGTAAATATATGCCAGCCTGAGAAGGGAGCATATATACAATACATGGAGTATAGGGTACACAGGCTTGTGGAATGCACCCCCCAGGAAGGCTTGCCTGGCACCTTCATTACTTATATTTAAGCACTAAGCAAACTATTGTTTAATCAGCCAAAGGCCTGGGCGAAGAACAATCTTTGGCCTTTTAAATGTGTGAGGATATCAGTTTTGTTTTTTTGTTTTCGTTTTGTTATTATGTTATTGTCAGGGGCCCAGGAGCAGAGGCACAGGAAAGGGAGGAAATAGAGAGCGAGGGGGAGGAATCCGAAGGAAATGTTAGCGATGACAGCGGTCCGAGGTCTCTGAGTCTTTCCAGCGAATCGGAAGATTCACAGAAAGGGGCTCCCATGGTCAGAGCAAGGGGGGTGCCTAGGGGGACACCCCAGGAAGAAGGGGCCAGAGGGGACTCAGAGAGCAGCAGTTGGAAATCAGGACCAGCTTCCCCACCAGAGCGCAGTAGGGGGGAGGAGTCCCAGGTATCGGGACCAGGAGGCTCACCGCCAGCGGGAGGAGAGGAGTCAGGATTGGCCACGCCTCCATCGGAGAGCGAGGAAACGGTCAAGAGGAAGGTGGAAGGCTGGGCGCGCGCGCCAAGTTCAAATGTACAGGAGGGCGGCGCAGTTGGCAGCCCGGATAGGGAGCCAGGTCCCAAAGCCCGCCGAAAGGAGGGGGAGGAGTCAGGGGGGTCAGCGTCAGAAGAGTCCAGAAAGGAGGAGACCCCGGGGGCAGAAGGACCCAGAGGAGAAAGGAGAGACGGAAGAGGTGGAGTAAGGTTAGAGTCTTAAGCTGGTGTACAGGGGGTGGAGACTCAGATGGAGCTTCGCCGGTCTAGCCTCTAAGACGTAGAGCTGGGGCGCTGCGGCTTGGAAATGGAAACTGTACTTCAATAAAGACTTTTGTACATTACTACCGGCTAGCGTGGGTCCTCTGTGAGCTGGGACCTGGAGCCAGCTCTGACAGTTATGTATTTTGTGTTTTATACTGTAAACTGCCCTGTGATATTCAGATGAAAGATGGTATACAAATTAAATAAAGAAGAAAAGTCTGAAGTAATTATTGTCTATCTTTTGAACACATTTAAATCCCACTTCTGTTTCATGATGGAACCAAAGGATGTATGTGGTTCCCAGGCAGTCATTCATCCAGGCACTAACCAGACCCAATGAGCTGATGCCCTTATATGACTTCAGATTATAATATGAAGTACTAAACTAAAACTATTTTGCCCAAACAATAGCTTGATATACCCAGATTTGGTGAGCACTGGAGGAAAAGAATTCTACTGTGTTGGGACAACCAAAGAGAACTCTTCACTGTGTGTTCTAGATGTACTGATCAGTGAAATCTTCAAGAACTGAAATATGACATGAATGGAGGAGGCAGACTTCCAAAGGAAGAATTACAAGTAGCTAATTCTGTTTAGCTTGCAGTGTCGGCCCAATAGGATTACTCCCTTGTGAGTGCAGCAGTATGTAGAACAGTCGTTTTAATTTTAGGGATGTGCTTTAAAATATTTGATACAGAACTTAAACAGCTGAGACATTTCAGTTTTTCTACAAGCAAAAGCAAAAAAAATAATAATAAAGGGGGGGGAAGCATTGCTGTTCCTAAGGCCCATTGATCCCCTTCCAAGTAGGCATTTTGATAAGAAATCACATCAAAGGACAGATAAGAAATGAAAGATAAACATTTCCCCCCTGCTCTTTGAATAACAAGAGGGCAGGGGCAATAGGAAGAAAAACATTCATTTTGTATTCGGGAAAACACTTTTCCAAGAGTAAAAAAGAATGCAGTCTTGGGAGGATGCTGTAGTTAAGGAATTCTCAGAACAGCCGTGAGTTATCGTACATGGGCACATGCATGTAAACAAACATACAGTGTCTGTAAATACAGACACGCTAGAATGTTAAGGTTCTTATTTTTTTTAAAAGTCACTGAGCAATAGATTTTATGTAGTGAAAAAGCACAAGTGTTGTAAAATTATTTCCAAATATTGAATATAGATGTTAAATCTGACCCGTATATTTTATAATACAGTGGTACCTCGGGTTACAGACGCTTCGGGTTATGCATTTTCAGGTTATGGACCGCGGGAAACCTGGAAGTACCAGAAAGGGTTTCGCCACTTGTGCATGCGCAGAAGCACCAAAGTGCATCACACATGTGCACAGACGCGGCGCTGCGGGTTGCGGACGTGCCTCCATCATGGATTACGTCCGCAGTCCGAGGTTCCACTGTACACCTTGTATTTGGGTATAGATAGCTGAGTATAAAATACAAAAGCAAAGTACAACACACATTTAAACTATTTTTTTCCTGCAAAATACACAAAAGTGACAAAGCTTAGGCAATCCATTCCATGCATCTTCTCAACAAAAAGAAACAAGAATCTTGATGAAAATCTTACTTGGGTGAATGATCCATCCTCAGTGCACTCTGGAATGAAGACTGCTTCTTGCGGCTTCTTTGCTTGATCCAGAGCTTGAGCCCTTTCTATTCTGCATTTGCTTTGACCAGCATCTGAAGGGGACAAAATCCACTAGGAATTCAAGTAGCAGCAGGCAATACAAGACACCACCCATTGGTGCTTCCACACATGGGCTATTTAGCAGCAACCAATCATTGTTGCTCTGCTTTAAACTGGAATCAGAATAGCAACTCTGCTTCAAATGTTCTGGAACCCAAACAACATTTTGCTGCCAAGTGGAGATCCCCCTTAGCTCAGCCCCAATTGTTGGTAGTAGGAACAGAAAGAACTGTCCATTTCAGTTCTGCTTCCAGTTCTTAAATTCAGGTCTCCACATTTTTAAGCCTTTTGTGAATTGAGGAAAAATCCTCATGAACATTCATCAGCATTTTAGTGCAAATTTCTCTTACCATATTTGTATAAGCAGTTTTGACTAATGTACACATTTATAAGCATTTTTGCTAATATTTATGTTCGCTAATAATTTCATTTCTCTGCCGCTCAAAATATGTATTTTACCATCTGTTTGGAGAACTTCATCACAAAATTCGGGTAAGCATGAATTTTGAATGATAGTTGCATATTTGTTCACATATTCTTTCAGAAAGTGAAAATTAGATGGAGTCAGGTTTAAATTCATAAAGAAGCAAATTTATCCCCTACCCCTAGATGGGAGGAATTTTAAAAATTGAAACCATTATATGGGGGAGGGGGTTAAATACTCCACCCCCATCACTGAACTCCAAATCATCATTGCCTCCTGTGCTGCAATTTGGCAGCAGAGGAAGGGCAGGAGAAGAATCTGATGGAGAGGCATTATTATGGGTAAAAAGGTAAAGGTACCCCTGCCCGTACGGGCCAGTCTTGACAGACTCTAGGGTTGTGCGCCCATCTCACTCAAGAGGCCGGGGGCCAGCGCTGTCTGGAGACACTTCCGGGTCACGTGGCCAGCGTGACATCGCTGCTCTGGCGAGCCAGCACAGCACACGGAAACGCCGTTTACCTTCCCGCTAGTAAGCAGTCCCTATTTATCTACTTGCACCCAGGGGTGCTTTCGAACTGCTAGGTTGGCAGGCGCTGGGACCGAACAACGGGAGCGCACCCCGCCGCGGGGATTCGAACTGCCGACCTTTCGATCGGCAAGCCCTAGGCGCTGAGGCTTTTAACCACAGCGCCACCCGCGTCCCCATTATGGGTAAAGGGAAGGGTTAAAGTTGATCCTCCAGAGGACCTTCAGTCCATAAAAAAGAAAATGTCTAGAGCAATCCATATACGTGGCCAAGCTACTGAACAGTTACATAATTGGTCACCTACATTTGGGGAAATGCATAGCTGTTCCACTGAGGTGAAAAAGAAACAGCTCTAAAGGAGGAAAACAGAGTTTGAAAATGGAAAGGCAGGAGGACACCTTGCAGAGTTACCAAAATGGAGTGAATGAAATACAGCCTGTAAAATAAACTCACTCACAGTGCACTTTTATCCCTTCACACTCCATTAATATAACTTTGCTATCTTATTTTATCTTTTAAGCACCTTGAGGCTCTGTCAAGGGAAAAGGCAGGGAATGAATGAATGGATGAATATGCACCATGTGAAGAATACAGTGCAAAGCTGGATACAAATTGTTGAAATAAATAATGCTAGCCATTTCCTCCTCAACAAACTGTTATTTGCAAATACAGATAATCCTAGGAGGTGCTTATCTAGCGTAATGCAAGAATCAACTTACAGTCTGAAAAAAAAGACAAAACACTCCCATACCATTGTCAATAAAGCCACTTTCATTTCTTTACCTTTACATCTGCCTCGATGAACCACACTCAGGCTTGCATCCCTGCATTTTGCTCTCTGATAGTCACACATCGACTCGTACGTCCTGCCATCTGAAGCACAGAGGGGCTTGGTTGGGGACCTGGAGCAGTGGAGGTTACATTGCGGGTCTCTGTCACGATCACTTATTAAAAACTAAAGGTGAAAAACAGGAAGTAAAATATATGGTTTTTTAAATAAAAAATGAAGTACTGTGAATTTTAATACATTTTGTTTACTTTTTCTAGCGTTATTAATGTGTTTGCATATATATCCTCTCTGAAGATATTCTCCCTTGCTTTGTCTGGTTCATCAGCTATGGTCACTGCTGGACAGGGATAGCCTGACCACTGTGTTGATCACTTCTAAATTGGATTTCTGCAATTCACTGTATGTGGGGCTGCCCTTCAGAAGCTCCAGCTGATGCAGAATGTGGCAGCCAGACTGCTGGTGGGGGCGCGTGACTGGTGCTATGGGATGCCTCTGTTAAAACAGATGCACTGGCTGCACATCCACTACCAAGCCAGGTTCAAGGCCCTTGTATTAATGTACCAAACCCTGAACGACTTAGGCCCAGGACACCTTAGGGACTAGCTGAATCCTTATATCCCAACTCAACCATAGAGATCATTTCCAGAATGTCACTGGCTGTCCCTCAAGTTTGTGAAGCCCATTTGATATCAACATGAAACAGCCTTTATTGTCGTTGACCAAATGCCTCCCGATTCAATCTTTAAACACCTGCTAAAACTTCTTCTATTCCACCAGACTTATGCAGGCAATTAAAAACACACCTTTCCATGATAGTTAGTTGATGGCCTCTTATTTTGTTTTATTGTCATTCGTTTGTGTGTGTGTGTATAACTGCTTTCATTTTTTATGGTATATAAATACTTTGATAAAGAAATAAAATAAACAATGGATTCAGATAACTGTTGGCCTAAGAGAGCACTGCAGTGTCCACTAATGCAAGCTTTCTGCGCACTTACAAAGACACAATTCAAAAGGTGAAAGTCTCAGCATTTCCTTCAGTTTACCTTATCACTTTTCCCCAAGTATCCAACCAAATTTACGTCAGAACCGTCCCAAGAGACCAGCATGCAGATAGTGGCATGCGCCACGAGGAAAAGTCAGAGTCACTGCTGTAAACACAGTTCTTACAATTGGTGCAACAGTTGTGTAAACCTTTATGTATTTCTTTATTGTTACATTTATAGCCCCCTTTTCCTGAAAGTTGCTCAAGTTGACATACTGATTTCCCCACTCTTTATCTTCACAACAACTCTGAGGTGGGTTAGGCAAACAGAAGGTGTCTAGCAAAAGGTCACCCAGCAATCTTCAAGACCAAATAGATCCGGCACAAGGTATTCCAGACCCTAGATTGAATACTCCAATCACTACACCACATAGGGTCTCTTTCAAAACTGAAGAAAACAGGTATATAAATCTGTTAGATGTTTTCCAAGTCCAAAGCTGCTAAAAACACACAAGTTCCAGGCTTGCTGGCCTGGCCAAAGCAGGCATTTCTGAAGTGTGCATCTGTGCACAGTTACTTCATTTTCAAAACCAAAACCCTAAGCTCTACAGATTTAAAATCAAATTATTCTCTATGCCAACTCACTCTTGTGGAGGAAACCTATACAAACAAGAGCTGACAGAAGACACATGAATTCTACACTTCATGCAATGTAGGCCATGGTTCCGCATTTGTTCCCTTGCCCCTTTTAATCTACGATTTTGCCTCTTGCCTAAACAAACACATTACACAAATTTCCAGGGTTTGGGGATTTTGTTTTATTTTTTGCAGTGTGTTGGTGATGGTGCAGGTGTTAAATAAAAATCTGTATAAAATAGCCTATCCTGCTTTTTTTGCCAGTGCTTTTTTGCAATAATACTCACCAGTACATAGTACCATCACCTCTTTCCTTGCTGCCCATGGCAGCCATTTTGTGCTGGTGCCCACTGCATTTTTATCAAGGTATGAGTATCAGCACCTCATATTTTTTTACCAAAAAAAGAGCACTGCATACCACATTTTGAAAAGCTGAGGAAGGGTCATAGCTATGTAGGTATTTTTGCAGCAGCATTTTAAAGCAGTACATGTATTTAAGGCTGGATAAAGAGTTTCTCCTCTGCCTTGGGGGGGGGTTCAAATCATGGGTCCACATAAAATAAGCACCCAATCTCAAACAGGCAGCCAGTTCTGAATGTGTTTAACAGCACAATATATATCACTGTCAATTGCGGCTCATTTTCTTGAGCTACCTTTTCTGCATGTAAATCACTACTTTTAAATGGCACAGTTGCAGCTTTTGATTGTAATCTCTGGAGGCCCAATATCAAGTGTACAGAGAAAGCAAGCACTTGTCATACTTTACGTAACCCCCACCCCCTACTACTAACGCTACTACTACTATTTCAGGACTGGCCAATTTTAGATAATAGAATAGTGGATTCTGTGGGGGTGGAAACAAGCAGGTAAAGGGCAGTGTTGAATACTTTAGGCTTACGCTCTGTACCTAAGTTTCAGGATTCAACGATCTTTTGAATCCTGCTATAATACAGCATCTGAGCCCACAACAGGATTTTGCAGTAGCCTCTCTCTTCTAAATGCACAAATTCTTGGGTGACTGCTAGAGGAAGCCTTTCTGAAGTATTCAAAAGAGGACTTAAACCTTTTACTTTTGAACATGCATTTACACAGGTGCACGTTTATAGCTGCTTCCCGGACTAACTCCAGCCTCCTCTGACCTGGGAAGGCAGCAGAGGTGAGATAAGAGAGGTCAGAAGATAGCTAAATTTGCCAGGCAAGAGCATCTGCTCTTTCTCTCCACACCTCAGCACCACCGCTGACAAAAACAAAAACACTGATTAAAGAACTTTTAATGTCTGTGAGAAAAAACAGGTTTCTTGCAGCTGCTCAGGAGCTGGAAGCACTTTTAGGATTTTGCTTGGGAAGGGTCTGTCCAGACAAAGGGGGGAAAAAGAGGTTTGGTGGTCACTTTATTTAGAGCTCTCATCTGTGCACAATGCACATCATAACCTACAACTGAGCAGTTTGGGCAAGCCTTTGTGAAGCTGCAATCAGCACCCAAAGAACTTCCCTGCAGCAGAAAGAACAAATTTGGACTGATTATCATCATTCAACCAAGGAAGAGGAAGTGAGAGATAGAAAACAAAGGAGCTGGGGCAGGAGCTCACAGCCAAACGATACTATCATCTGTGTGTATGACATGAAAAGCATGGCATCTATTCTTTTTCTTTGCTGCCCAAGTTATCTTAGTATCTTTTTTCCAACCTACAAATGGAGAACTGAGACCTCATTTGCAAAGCGACCAGATGCCGAAATGTGCAGCAAGCCTATATCAAAGATAGATGTATCAAAGCACACCATCTTGCTTTATTGCCACAGTCATCCTTTACAGCTGTAACTTAATCCATCATTAGCATTCATGTGTGTTTTCCTTAAGTCCTCCTAAGGCGGCATCATGACTACTTGGCCCAGTCAATTTATACACAAACAAAATTACTAATGCATTGCTTTTAAAGTAAGTAAACAATGCAGATCTCTACAAGCTACAGGCTGTCTAAATATCAAAATGTTGAAGGTACCGTGGATTAACACAACATCAGGCTATTCCATATAAACAAAGCTGTACAGTGGTACCTCGGTTTACGAACTTAATCCATTCCGGAAGTCCGTTCTTAAACTGAAATTGTTCTTAAACCAAGGCACACTTTCCCTAATGAGGCCTCCCACCGCCGGTACCCTTCCACTGTTCGGCTTCCGTTCTTAGACCGAGGTAAAGTTTCCAAACCGGGACACTACTTCTGGTTTTGCAGAGTTCGTAAACAGAATAGTTCATAAACAGGGCTGTTCTTAAACTGAGGTACCACAGTATAGGGTTGTATCCAACAGCAGTCATAGTCAAAACAGACTGGCTGAAATTAATGGTCTTGGCTAACTTAGGTTCATTGATTTCAATGGGTCTCCTCAGGGTAGAATTTAGTTGGCTACGACCCATAAGCATTTTGACATTTCTCCCTTCAAATTCTAGGGTGCCAAATTTTCTTTATGGCTTCATCTTAAAGGTACTGCCAAGTAGTAATATTAATGGGTCAATGTTGCTTTTTTCTGTTTGATTTGCCCAGGAATCAAGCCAATTCTAGCATTGTTTCCTGGTAGATCAAAAACAAGCAGAGTTAGCATGATGATCACCGCATGACAAACACAACTAAGGCAGTACCAAGCCCCTTAACTATGCATATTGTTCCATATGAGAGTTATTTTACACACAGAGACAATAATTTTAGGGTGTCTGCTGATGGTTAATGAACATGCTGTTTAGCATGACCTGTTAAAATGTTGTCAGAAGCACCAATACATAATGAACAATTCACAAGTCTAGTCCCAAACTAAAATTTTATTATGTCCTTCATGTTTGCAGAGAGTAAATATGTGGATGTAGGTACACATGGTGCTTTAGGATGCTGCAGGGACAGGATCACTGAAACTCACTGGTTGCACAGCAGTATGTGTTGATGAAATTCACTCTGCCCAATATCACATCTCCATCTGTTGACTTAAGAGTGACTGGTTCTTAATGCTACACTTATTGCTTTAATCCATCACCTGTCTCCTAGTGGAGATAAATGTTCTGACCTGGAGATAATTTCCTATAAATACACAGCATTTAAGAAATGTACCAAGAGATATTTGCAGCCAAGAAATGAAATAAATCAGGTCTTGAATTTAGGGTAGGAGACACAACATTTGAGTGATATAAGCTGAGCTCTTCTGATTTGCCAAGTGGTAAAATCCTCACCCTATGCTGTATGTTTCTCCTCCTCACATAATTGGTTCCTCCCTTATAAGGAAACACTAAGATACTGATGTCAGGGCAGAAAGTAAATTGTACAACACATTACAGGGGAAGAAAAGGTAAAGAAAAGACATCTTGTGCTAAGAGAGTAGCTCTGCACTTAGCAGTGGTTTTTCCATTTAACCTTCCAGCATATATTTTGAATTTCAGGATAAAGCCATTACAGCTTTCCTTGTAACAATAACCAGAGGCAACGGTAACTTAACACTAATGCAACTGGTATTTTAAACCCTCACCCCACAATGGCTTGCAACCCTGTTCCAACTGACTAGTAGACCAGGATTATTTTATGTCTCTA